TTTTTCAAAAAATATATACACTGTAATAGTGCAAAAAAATTATGTACTTAATATTGTACTTTAATATATTAACGCAAAGTTTGTCTAGACCTATGACACTTTTGGCTAATATCAAAGTGTAATATCATCCATTAAATAATATTATTATATGCAGGTGTTTTCACAGAAACTCTCGTTATGTCTTCATAGATAAGACCGCGGAACATTAGTTGGCAAGACTGGATATGTGCAGCTTACGTCATTTTGTGACAGTCAAAACAATGAATGATAGATAATGACATTTTGACACGGACGTCAGAGAAAACGTTGGATTGAAATTTTAGTTTGAAATTGATCTTCAATACACTTGAGCTGTTTTCAAAAGGAACGTGTGAATGTATTATCCAAAAAAAAAAAAAAAAAATTCAATTCCAAAACACATGTTCTTTGATTTCAATGGGTGGCACTATAGCTTCCCAATTTTTCAAACCAGTGAGCTAAAGACCAGCAGTTAAGTTTATTTGTTACTTTCTCTGTCTATTCTAACCACTTATGTACCTATCTAGAATGCAACTTTTAAGCTGTGGATTGGGGTGTCAGTTGTTGGTATAATTTCACTATGTTGAAAAAGCAAATCTAGTGACAAAGATCTAAGTCGAATAAGACAGAAAAATTACCTTCAAAATATAGGTGATATATATTCTGAAAAAGAATATTCGAGATTAACCATATGCATTAGTGCGGTGGTTCATATTGACAAAAAATTAATTTTAAAAATCTAAAAGACTCTTTTCGTAATATTATTTCTCTCAAATGATGTTTTCTTATTCACAATAAGACGTGCAGATATTGTCCATTTTTTCTTTCTTTTTTTTAGTTAACTGTTGATATAAATCCTATTAATCTGAATTAATCGCCGATAGAATCTTTTTGAGATGTGACGCTGAATCAAGTTTTGCCACAACTTTAGGAACTTCATGGGAATCAGCACACTGATTTTTAATTCATTCCATTCTCGAGTTTAAATTACCCAGAGAATTGTGTATGATTTGGCGCAGACAGAAGTACAGACAACATGATAAAACACAAAGTTCAACCCCTTCGCGTGAAAACCGTTCTTAAGTGTAGAAACCTACATCAAAGTTTTTACTTTTTAACTTTGCATTATTTACATGGAATAATCTAGTGCTATTTAAATAATATTAGGCCCCCTTCCCATTTTCACCTCCTTAATAACATCGACGTAGCTTTTTACATATCAAAATTATGTTTTATTACAAATTGTTACAATCTCCAAAGTCGATCAAGCATCAATGCCACTATGGGTGTCCAATTCTTTCTAACTTAGCCTTTTTATAGAAATTATGCATGATTAAACTATATTAAAAGACTAAATATAGTAGAATTACGAAGTTATTGCCTCATGTAAATTAAGGATTAGCTCCCCTTTCACTTTCAATGGCAAAGCCAGAGGTCAAGAGTGTATAAATTCATTAATGTGTATTAAAGAATTCAAATCCACTATGAATTTTACCGTAGGATTAAAGCTTTAGGCATAATCAATCGAGCATTGGTGTGGAATTACATGTAGAAAGAGTGACAGGCCGATAGGTATTTGTACACCTGGACGATATCACCCCCCCCACCCCCCCCCCCCCCCCCCCCCCCCCCCTCTACGCTTCTCGATACACTTACGTCCGACAAACCTTATATTGTGTATTGTAATTATACAAAGCATGTATTGAATTGTGTCCAATAAGTTCAAGTGTTGTAAATTTTTACTATAATTCATGAATTTTTGGTATAGTACGAGAGCCCATTGAGCTCATTTTCGTAGGTTAAAAAAATTAATTTTTCGCGATATAACGCGAAACTTTTGCGAATAAACACGTAACTTTCGCATTATAACGCGAAACTTTTGCTAATGATAAGCAAAAAGCTATTTTGTATTTTGATTTTGGACTATCACAAGCTACAATTTTCAGTTTTCTTCCTATTGAATCCATCTTTACCGTCACATTTTGTCTTTCTCAACGCTTTTCAAACAATTCAAAGTTTATGCGAGTTTTCCAAATGTTAAACTTCAAGATTATGAATTTCGGGAAAAATCACCCCTTTCCAGCGTCATTTTTATACAGTCTTTAGAGAATTTGAAATAATTTTATTTTATAAAGATCAAGATCTCAGGAAATTGACAAAATCATGTAAATTTGTCAATTGTGACCCACCACGTTTGTGAAAATTAGGTAGCAGATTTTCATTTGTCTCTGTTGGATTCACTGTAGAAATACATCATATCGTATTTTGAGATTGCGCCATATGGTCCTTCCACTGCTTACGAAAACGATTAATAAATTATTATGATAATTCAGACTGTGCAAACTCTGCTGTATAGTTTTATAGTTTTGATTTATGGCGCTAGTCTACGAACTTCTCTAAAACCCCTCGGATAATGAATATTGCAGAAAATTTAGAGGCCCCTCCTCCTAGATAAATTTGTAATTAACAATAACCAATTATATTTGTTATTTAAACAGCATCATATGGCCCGTTAAGCTCATGAAATGATACATTGTTCACTCACTTTTAAGTTATGTTTCTACAAGGTATAATTTTAGTCCAAAATGATTGATTGCTGTAGAGTTTTCCTTAAAATAACAAGTCTAAAGAATTTCTTGAATTTTACAATTAAAAAACATGTACAGATAGTCAAATTCATTTTATTAATTGGTAAGGTTTTAAAATAAACAAAATATCCTGATGAGTAATCTATACTATTGTCGCATCATTTCTCCAGTACATCTTCTGAGGAACTGATATTTTATAAATACGTTCCTGAGAGTTCCCGTCTGTGTTCATGTCCTCATCTGTCAGTCAAGATCAAGGTTCCTGAAAAACATTACTATATGCATATTATTTCGCGAAATAACGCGAAAGTTTCGCGTTATTACGCGAAAGTTACGCGTTTATTCACGAAAGTTTCGCGTTATATTGCGAAAGTTACGCGTTGTTTCGCAAAAGTTTCGCGTTATAACGCGAAAGTTACGCGTTATATCGCGAAAGTCGCATAAATTTATTTTTTTAACCTACGACAATGAGCTTAATGGGCTTTCGTTGTATAGACCATTAAACATAACTATTTCAATTTTTAATCTTTTCCCGAGGAGTTGAGGGGAATGTTTAAAAACGCCACATTCATCATTAAAAATTCATTTACTTTTTGTATATAAAATTGCATAAATTATCATTCTTTATATTATCACGTATAATGCTGGTATGGTCTCATATCCTTAGTTAATGCACATTACTTATAAATTTTCTAACTTATCAAAGAAAAAAAAACATTTCCTGTTTCATTACGTCACCCTTCTCTCTCTCGTGTCATACAGCGTTAAAAACCATCGCCTCACTTAAACTTACAACACACATCCACGCGACTTCCTAATATTTTGGATTAGACGCCACTGTAAAAGGATTACGTGATTAATAAGAAATAAAGAGATTAACGTGATTAAGCCAGTCTATATATTTTGTGACATTGCGTCAACTCCTGTTCATTCACAGGATAGGTTCTGCAAAAAGACTAGGAAATATTCCTGTATAACTCATACCGATGCTGGTTACTTACACCAAATTCATAAGTCAATTTACTGAAAATTTGGCAGATTTGGACAACTCACTTCAGGGGGGCCTAGCCATAAAATTCATGCAATCACAATATTTTATACATACAGTGTGGTTCGCTTATAAAGTGTTCTCATTCACAGAGCTGTGGTATAGCTCTAGGTGTAATGGTTTAAAAATAAATCAATTTATTAAATTTTTTAATTCTGGTTTTCTTTTCTTCTTTTTTTTTTTTTTTTTTTTTTACATATTTTATTGACAACAAAGGGATTGGACACAAGTTCCAAATACTCAGATCGTCCTCTCCTATTCATAAAATCTCAATTTTTCAATTCTAATGTATAAGTCAGTGAAATATTCCCCTCAGGCGCGGAATCCATTTACGATCGGTCATTGAATTTAAAATTCTTGTCTATTTTAACCAAAAACTCGCAAAGATATTTTCAAGTGTACGTCATATATATATATACCTTTTTAACTGCATGATCTTATTTTTTTTCTCAACAATCCCTAAGCTTTGAGCTTTTCATTTTGAAAGAAATTTCATGCACCTTTTTTTTCTAACTATAAAAGTTTCTTTATACTAACAATACTAACACACTTGTGTATCCTTTTTTACATTTACAAATAAAAAAAATGTATGCCCTGCTGAAAATAATTCAAACTTCTACCCAACTAACCCCCCTCTCCATTAATTACTCTCATTAATAAGGCAATTATGCATTGCTTCAGAACGAATAAAAGAAACATGGATGACTATATACAGAACATGCCAAAAATTTACAGCCCCTTCACCCCCTCCCCACTCATCCACCCCCCCCCCCCAAAAAAAAAAAGAAATTATACAAGAGAAAAGCAAAAACAAAATTATTGTGAATTAACGTCATTTGTTTGCCTGTTCTCGTAAACTTTGGATCATTTTCAACGTTTTTGTGAGCAATACACTTTTACTGGGAGTTGAAAAGTCCGGACTATATAATCAATGTATATATATCAGATATTGTTACTCTCTCACAATTCTCTGTTTACCTTTAACCCTCCGCTATCAGTGAGCAATTACTACCTTAAAACATCCACACAAAAGATTACCCAATCTGTTTAGATTTGATCAGCAAAGATTAGAATTAAAGCTGAAAAGTTATTCTCCCTACAAACTTAAAGGGATCACCTACATTTAAATACATTTTCAAAAAAATAAACTTTTAAATTCTACTGGCTCACACTCGGTTATTTTACAGATTACAATTCTTGCGGACTTTTAATCCTATTTCCTTTTCATTTATACCTTGATGATTCGTGGCGTGAGTTACCTTAAAAGTTAAAAGAATCAACGCGAGAGACATGAAGGTGCCGATAGCGGACACATCTTAATTAGCGTGGAATGGTCCGAGACAATCATGGAATTAGACCCAACCGGGAAAGAGGTATTTAAGATTTTATTAACAGTATAAGTTTGAGGATACTATATTACTTTTTTAAATTTATTTAACTTTTAAAAACTCAGGAGATCGAAGACATTATTTTTGAAAAATAAAGTCTTATAATACTCGGTTCTGATTAGAAAATGTCATTATTTTCGAGAAAAAAAGCTAAATAGCTAAATAAATAAATTGTAAATATTTGTATGTGTTTTACAAATCTGCCCCCCCCCCTCTCAAACAGTTAAGGCTTTTGTTGTGATTTTACCCCCTCCTCCTCTTTTATGTCCATATTTATCAGAACATTTCTCTACTAAAGTGAATGAAAATTCAAATTATTGGATATTACCATTTCAATGTTTTTTCTCGAGTACATGTTAATTTGGTCATAAAAACTTAAAAGGCAACATCAAAAATTTAAAAATCCCTCGCACTATTAACTAAACCTATATGTTTTGTTTTTATGCTACTCCTCAACAAAACCACTGCCAAAAGGAGCGCAACGATCAAAGAATAGAGATACATAAAAATAATGTATTAATGACAGATAAAATGCTTAAATATTTGTTTAAACTTCTCCCAGCTTTAATAAACATATGGTTCGCCAAAAGATTAAAAGTTTACACTGTTATGAAAAGGGGGCTTATGAAAGATTTGGATTATAGTGTGTCGAGAAATCACGTCTCATTTGCTGTAAATAGTTATCCGAAATAAATATGTTTAATTAAGATTAAGAATCTATTGTAAATAATTAGACCCTCGTAATGTGCAACACTTTTTACCATAGCACTTCACAGATAATCTAAAGAAGATGTGTTGCATTACTTGAATTATTTCCTCCGGAACAATAATTAAATTTACTTTGCTTCAAGAACTTGTAATAGATTTGGTATTTTGGCAAAGGAGAGGTTAAAAAATGAAAGCATACGCCAAATCAATTATTTTTTTAAAAAATAAAGTACATGTAGTTTATACACTCATTCATACTTAGGAAATATTTATTTATTGATAAATTTTATTTTTCAACGTTAAAAAGCTTTCTTGTCTCAGGTATATGTATCTATTCAGGCACTTAACAGGAAAACTGTGGCACCTGTTCTTTGCGATAATATTTTTCTTTATTTCTAAACACTAGATTCACTTGTTTTTCTGTGAACTTAGCTGAAACTAATGTTATTTTTAAAGTGACACACCAATCCCGTTCTGTACAACCGGGGGTCAAACTTGAATCCACACTACCTAAAGATTCTTTTATATTACTACATGTTCTTATCATGGCTTTGTTGTTCTTGCAGGGAAATTTTTTTATATGATAACTTTGCAAACTTTGCCAGTTGTGGCCCCATCCTTCCCCTAGGGTCATGATTTGCAGAATGTACGATTTATGAGTTATCATTTATAGGAATGACATAGGTACACGATGTATTGAAACTTTCACTCGGGTTTCATTTCCTTCGATTGCTCTTATGCAAAAAACATTGGGGTTAGAATTCAATTAGACTATCTGTTGTGAGTCTTATCAATTTAAGCATTTGTAAAGATTTACTGACTTTCAAATAGACAAAATCGAAAAAAATACATCTTTTTTTCCAGAGATTGGACAGAATTAGTCGTCTGGTTTTCGACAGACGTAACCTCCAAACTCTCAGAGAAGGACTGTGTAGCTTGTTTGATATCTTTCATGATATTCTGGAGAAAGACTTTGAGTATGGATGTTACTTTGATAATGACGAAATCATCGCAAGACTTGATGAAGTTGTAAGTGTCAATATCAAACAAATCAGAAATATTCGTCCTTTACAAGATAAACAAGATTTGTACTCGAAATACTGATGCTCAAGTATGACAGCTTTTGGCAAAGTTGGATGGTTTTTAAATGCAAGTCAAACCCCAAGCTCAAGGAATGAAAAATATTAATGCCCAAACATGTACTTGTCCCAATGAATATACCCATGAAATGTGAAAGACCAAGTACAAAGCATTGAAAAGTTACTGCAAAGTTTTTTTTAATTGTAAGTCAACCCCCAAAACCAAAGTGTCAAATTAAGGGTACCCAGGGAAAGGCCTTGACATATGAAATACACGTGAAATATTGAAGCCCTGGCATCAACTGTTCAAAAGTTATGACCAAGGTTAAATGACCAAAATTGTTGTTATCCAAACGAAGGCTTTGGTACATGGAATACTCCCGTGAAAAATGAAGGACTTGGTCTAATAGTTTACTGAGTATGCCAAAGGTAAAAGTTTTTTAAATGGGTGAAATTCAAAGGTTAACGTTTATAGATCAAAAATATATAAAGGTCTTATTACAATGAATATACATGTGAAGTATGAAAGCCCTAGCACCGACTTTTCAAGAGTTATGGCCAAGGTTATAGTTGGGTAAAAGAAATTGCAAAATTGGGTCAAATTCCAAGGTCAAAAATGCTGGTACCCAAAGAAAGGCCTTACTAGTATATGCCATTCGAAACTCCAACCATGGAAGAGTTTTGGGCAATGGTAAGGTTTTTTGCGATAAAAGACGAAAGACGGACGGAGAGAGCAAAAACTGTATATAACATAACCGAACAAACAGGGGGCAATTCAGATTTTAAAATATGATTGGTTGTATCCTGTAGATGTGCAATAAAGAATTTAAATTTTCATTTGTGAACACAAAGGGTCAAATCAAAATATTTAGAGTAGTTTAAGAAAGAAGACAATGTGACAGCCGAACAAATTGAAAAACAACTGGAACATTTTTTTAAAGAAAAATGCAGGCAAAATAGTTTTATTCATTTACTGGTACGGAAGTTATTATAGAAGTGGTAATTACAAATGTAAAAATACTAAAACATTAAAGAAATCTGATTTAAATATTACATGTTTGATTTACTTTTGAAAAAAATTAACCTTGGCCATAACGTCTGAGCAGTTGTTACTTGGGCTTTAATATTTCACATGTGTATTTCCTACTGACAAAGCCTTTCCTCGTTAATTTTGACTTTGTCCGTTGATATTCACGCACATTAAAAATATAACCTTGGTCACAACTTTTTTGATTGATAGTTCCTGGGCTTTCATATTTCACAGGCATATTCATTGAGACGATTCCTTTCTTTGGGTAACAACTTTTTTCATACCTTGACCTTGGAGTTTGACTTCACCATAAGCTGTCATAAAGGGGTATCAGTGTTTCACATATGTACATGTATCTTGATTAAGAAGGTTTTTGTATTAAACGATTTTTTAGTTTTGATTCATAATTGGTACTTGGATAAACTGAAAAAAATATTGATCATTTACAAGAAACTTTCTGAAGAAAGTACGGGTGAAATGACCATTAATATTGCTGTGTATTCCACGTCATAATAAGATTTATTGCAATATTTGTAAATATAGAAAGAAATAGATTGTTTTACATTTATTGTCAACTCTTGTAACATTTTAATGATCTTCAGTAATATATCTTTTCATTTATCATTAAAATACAACAACTTTGACAGAAACAGAACAGATGGGATGACGTCAGAGAACACTTTATAGAGGATGTCTACCATTCTTATAACAAGGGGAACTTCACGGATGACGAAATCCGCGACCCCGCCAAACTCGTTCTGGATCTCATTAACCAGGTCATCAAGTGCAAAGAGGGCGTGTATCAGAAACTCGAGGTATACTTTATAGTGATGTTTACTCGTCCTTGGCAGCTGATCCCTTCTCTGGGATTTTCAGGGGTCGTGTTTAATGCCCAGTCCTCAGGACCATAAATTGAGAACAGACTTAAGTCAAAATTTCAAAACACTATAACTTCAGCGATAATTTTTCACCATATAATTGAATTTAAATTACATATACACAGCTGCAAAGTTTTAAGAAAATACGTTAAATGTTACTAGTACTCAAGATATCAAAGATCTTAAGTTTGCTCTCAGTTTATGGTCTTGGAGCCTGTTAAATGATTTTGTATCTTGATAGATCATTTTGAGATCTATAATACTGTTGGTCATGTTCAACTTTTTCATTAACACGTCCTAGCCTGAGAGCTGGGCGTTTCTCGGTCAATTTAGAATGGTGCAAAACTTATTTTCGTTAAGTGATGTAAAAAATGTATTATTTGTATGACAAGGGCATTGAATTTACTGCTTACTATTACAAACAGGAACATTTTAAAACTTATTAGCACTGAAAAATGTGCAATTATGTGTCTAATTTTCATGTTAAGACTTAATTAAGATATCAAATTGTTTATTTTTTAAAAGGTGTTCTCATTGTTCGTAAATACATTAGTCATACAGACAGGTCAGATATACATTATTAAAGACCAACCTGTAATACGCGTATTTATAAGTGGACAGAAACACCCTTATCAGTTTCATCTCAGTAATGCGAATTTGCCCATCCCGTTAACGACGATATGTTTTCTCAGATGGCCATTATGTCATCGTAAAATGTTTCATAACTTTTATTTAACAAGGTGACGTACTTATGTCAGATTTAGAAAAAAAAAAAAAAACAATTAAATTATTTTTCTTATATCTTTATATTCAAAAAAAAACCATATCATCATAAAATGTTTCATAACTTTTATTTAACAAGGTGACGTATGTACGTCAGATTCAAAGAAACAATCAAATTATTTTTCTTAAAAATTTAATATTTTTCAAATGTAAAAATCATTTTTTAAAAAAAAAACAACATTTTATTCGGTTACAGGTTCAAAATTACTTTGTATCTTCTAAAAAGTTATGTAGAACTACAGAATGCAATCATACATTTTTGCCAAACTCTGAAATATTCCGAAAACCTTAATTTGTAATTCCATGTACTAGTATATTTTAGGTACATAGTTTTCTTATGACTTTTAGAGTTAAACTCCAATTTAAGTAAGCCTGTATTTTTCTGAAATAATAAACCTTAATAAAATTTCAATTTTCAGCAAAAGCACACGGAGATCGAGGAGGCAGAGAGAAGAGTAGAAGAATACCGGGGTGAGATGAACCCCTTGTTAACCCTCGTTAACCCTCGTTAACCCCCCCCCCCCCCAAAAAAAAATTGAGTTCTACTCACTCAGGCTTAATTTCTTTTTTCTTCTTCTATCTAGTCATTGTCAGTAGTAAAGCAGTGGCAACAATATTTTTTTATATTCCAAACTTCAACTTTTTTTATTCCAAACTTCAACTTTTTATGTTACAAACTTCAACATTTTATATTCCAAACTTCAACTTTTTATGCCACAAACTTCAACTTTTATATAATGAATTTTATATTTTTTTCATTTAACAAATTTGAATTTTTATACTACAAACTTCATGTTTTTATATAGCAAACACACAGGCCGTTAGATCGGTCAGAAAAAAATTGAGGTGTTTAAAAAATAAGGTTTGGAACTCTTTTCATAATGATAAAGTACCTACTTTCCCCAATAAAATTCTTATAAAATCAAATGCTTTACAATTTTACTTTCTATCCATATCTATTTATATATGAACAATCTTCATTACTACCAAAGTTCATTCCGTAATTTCTTATACTTCTTGAGATATTCTGAAATCGATTCCCAAATTCCCTTAATTTTTTCTACTCGACATCAGCTTGGGCCTATGAAGAGCTACACTAATTGTTAAGCGGGAACGACGGGAATTTATAATATATTCAATGAATATTTCCCTATTTGCACTCGAGCTTTACAAGATTTTCTGGAATTTGATCATATGAACTTAGTCTTACTAAGTCACCACCAACATTTTTTCTGTTTAATTGTTTTTAAAGGGGCTTGAAAGGTATATTATATTCTAAAACGATGCTAGGTCATCGAATTACTCAGTTTAAATTACAAAAATATATTATTTTTGTAGACGTTTTAAAAATATTTCTAGAAACAAAAATGAAGCTTATCTTGAAAACGTCTGTATATTCAAAGATATTAAGTGTTAAAATAGTTGATTATTTTCTATGGCGAATGAACAATGAGTGAAGCGTCGCAGCACGCACAGTTTCTATACAGAGATTTCACGCTTTCCTTTGCGTTAATCTCAGGTAACTTTTTACAGTCGCCGACAAAGCATCCTTGGACGAGTCCACTGTAGACTCTGAAAGGTGACGTAATCAGGTTTTGAAATCGATAACAAATTCTACAATGCATGGCTATAAAATTATGGCTATCATTACATACAAATTAATCCCCCCCCCCCCCAAAACTGAAATTGCTTTTCACGGGCCTGCAAATGATGTGTAACTTGAGAGACAGTAAAATAAAAGCACAAAATCAATGTTTAAATTCTCGTATTAAGCTTTGGTACCGGAAATTATATACTTCTTTTGGTTGCTAGAAAATTATACCGAATATACACACATTGGACATGCCGCTCAGATAGATGAACCCCAAAACGTCTTAAGCCACGGTCCGAAGTAGGAGAGGATCGTAAATTTTGTCCGTGGTTTGCAACGATGGATGAACCCGTAGTCACGTGGATTTTTTAGAGCCTGGAGCCGCCCCCCCCCCCCAATTTTTCACTATTGAAAAATTTGTCTTTTTTTAGCAAGCTATCTTAATTGATGTATGTATTGAATGAGATATACGTCATTAAGCAAAAAATACAAAAACGTATGTAGTTTGAAGTACATGTATACTAAATGTCTACATAAAATATTTCATTAAGAAACGGAGACGTTACTATGCTCTATAAAATATTCCTGAAAGTGTGTCACGTAAATTCATCTTAAAAAGTAATTTAAAAGTACGAAATTAATAATTTCTTTTTCTAATAAAATTCAATATATGAAGGTTGTTTCATGTAAACAGTCATGTAGTTTATTCAACAGAGGACTGAACTCAATATATAGTATAGCCTTCATCTTAAAACCATTTTAGGATATTAATGACACTTCCTATTTGACTTTCTACAGCTTGAGTATTTCTGACGTTTTGTCAGTATATACTTGTTTCTGTTTAATTGTTTTTAAAATCGAAAGGTATATTAGGCCTATACAATCTCGGGAAAAAATCGTTCAACCATATCTTTTACATTCATAATCAACATGGCGGTGCGGTTGTTGATGTAGACGTTTTCAAATTAATTTTTCGCGAAAGAAATTATTACGGACTTAACCTTACAATCTGGAGTAAGAAATCAACTTTAAAATGTTGAAAGATTTTGCAAATACTATGCAACTCTTCGCTGCACTTCAAACACCGTCCGTTTACATTTAAATGACCAGAGGCCCAAGCTTCTTTTGAGTAAAAAAAAAAGTAGGTCATTTTTTGAAATTGATATCAGAATATCTCGAGAAGTATGCAGAATTTCGGAATCAGCTTTGGTAAAAATGAAGATTGTTTATCTATGAATAGATTTAATTAGAAAGTAAAATTTTAGGGGATTTGAATAAAAAAATATTTTATTGGAGAAAGTGAGTACCAAGCGTAAGGGTTCCATACCTTTATCTTTTTTACACACACAATTTTTTAAGCGATCCGAAGACCTGTGAACAAACATCACATTTTTATGTAACAAACTTCAACTTCTATAAAACAAACTCAACTTTTTAAATCATAGGCTCCAATTTTCTATATTACAAATTTCATTTTTTTTACATTACCAACTTTCTTTTGCAATAGTCTTAAAGCAATATGACCTGCAAGTTTGACAGGGGAAAATTTTGTTGCAAGTTTGTAATCAATTATATTTAAATGACAGAAAAATAAAACATTTATAAACTTATGTCGTTCATATTTGCGATAGAACTTTTTATAAGCTTTAATTGAAGCAAAGCTAAGCAATGTTATATATTCGATTGTACAGAAATATATTTTCATTACATACAAATTAATCATAATAACACATGTTAACAGCAAAATCATTTTCTAAAAAATGCAGCTCATATTGCTTTAAGACTTACTTTACGATCTGTTTCTGTAAACAATATGATATATAGGATCTCTCATGATATGAAGTTTGATGGCTTTTTTTGTGTAAAATTATATCAAATCACAAATCATGGCGTATTCTTTTTCTCATTATTACCAATGTTTTACACTGTTTGAAATTCATGAAATTCATGATGAAACCATATTATTTTACATAAACACTTTCTCGCAAAAACCATCATGACATCACAGCTGTGGTAAAAAAAAATATGCTAGAAAATTATAACCATTGAATAATTTTGGCTTTACAACTTATTTGTAATCTTTGTTTATACCTGACGTTAAGAATGAAGCGAAAGACTCGAAGTACCTTTACCAAACAAAAAACAAAAAAAAAAGAACTTTAACTACGATGTTTCTAATTAGTATTATCTGTAAATTTGATTAATAGAGAAAGCCCAGCATGCATATGAGACGTTAATGAACGAAAGAAAAGAAACAACGGATAAACTCCTAGAAGCTGCCAAAACCAAAACCAAGTTAAAATGCATGGAGCAGCTATATGAGGAAAAGTCGCAAAAGCTACAAGAGTAATTACCTCCTTAATTATTAAATCGATCTTAATCGTGCATAATTACTAAATATTTTGATTTTTGGCCGTTCGCGATTTGGATTTAATCTGACAATTAACTCATTATTGCCCGTTGTGTACCTTTTGGCCTAGAAAATAATTGGGGTATTATTTCGTAATGGTAAGTGAGACATAATATAACTTACGAGGAATTATGACGATCTGCCATTTATTTAACTATTTTTGAGCTTATTTATGAAACATTATCTGTCGTTTAACAGATTACAGAGGACGAGTACTGTTAGTATGTGGGAGAGAGAAAGGGAGAAAGTCGTGAAGGACTATCAGCAAAAGTAAGTTTGTTTTTTTTAATTACATACTACAATTTTTTTTTCAAAAAAAAAAAAAATGAATTTTGTATTTTTCCTGCATTAACTCCTTCCTCTTATGTTAATTGAAGAGTTGTAGTAATGTTTTCCTTTCTTTCTGGGAAATCTGGTATAACTTTATACAAAAATTTTAGACTGAGTGGGAAAAAAGATTTTTTTTGTGTGTTAATTAAAAAAAAATTATTATGGTTTTTACATCAAATTTAGAAAAATTAAGCTGTTTTTCTGAAGAAAATTAAAATTTGAAATATATCTGAATTTCATAATCAGTGCTTTCATAAAAATTGCATTGCTATACCTACAAAAAGATTTAAATAAGAATTTGCTTATCTGTTTTAAGGACCTGTTGTCCTGATTCACAATAAGTATAAACATATATATTTATGTGAAGCTTATGATGGCAGTATTAATGTCTGACAACAATCTGATTTTAGGATAGAAGACCTTGAACACGAAATTTCTTTTCTAAAGCAGAATACGAGGACTATTTCTCGAAGAATGTCGGTATGTAGATGATTTGTATTTCTGATAAATAAAAAAAATAGACTACAGCAAGACTACATGTACAGCAACTACTTGATTATGTAAAAATAATATGTTCTAAAGTCATATTCTCGTTTCAGAATATTGACGATCAAAATAAAATGTTTAAAATGAAGCAAGAGAGAGGCAAGTCTTTCCAAGGTATAAAGAGTTACAAGGTTCTTTAAAAAGTAATAGGTCGATAAGTTATATAATGGTATTTTTCCCGTTTTGCACACATTTGATAATTAGGTATGAATTATGTGGTTCATATATGTAACAATTACAAAGTGCGTTTTACCTAGATTTTACTTGCTTTATCAATGTTTTGATTTAAAAAAGAAATACACTGTATATTAAGTGAGAAATGAGTAAAAGAATGAACAAGTGAAGAAATTCAAAAGAATGAAGTGAAAATAAAACAGAATCATGCCTCGATCACGTATGGGGTATTGTAGATTTAAATTACTTACAAAATAAAAAAAAAATACAAATCATCATTTGAAAGCAACAAACTAATATGCATATGATTCTTTTTCAATAATAGAAAATGAACTTTTTTTATCCAAGCTGTTTGGAAAGTGAAGAAATCGAACATTATATAAAAATATATACCTTAGTAAGTGAAATATTGTTTATCTTTATTGTTCATCTTTTTCTAATCTACAACTATCATGCAGAATATATACCAATTAAGTAATTCCTTAAGTAAGTCATTACCTAGACAAATTACGTTTTACACGCATATTTCTACACCTTAATTTCAAATGCGCGCAAAACGGGAACAAACCGTTTAATGTTTGACTTAACAGTGTAATGATTAACGCTTTAAGGATATCCGATCTTCAACCAGGAAGGATAACTCCGAAAATTGATATTTAATTTGAAATGCATCAAAATGAAGCTTGAAGATGATTTTTTTTCATGCAACAATTTTTATTTTATTCATCTTTATAAGATTCAAGGTTTTTGGAAGTCTTAGAAAAAGTCTCATAAAAGTTGACATTTGTAACCTTTAAATTAAAAAAAAATAATACAGTTTTAGAGAAATAAGATTTTCTTGAATCCAGCCTTAGATACCAATGCTTATTAGCATAATATGAAATAAAAAGTGATTTGTGGTGTCTTGCAATGATAGCAAAAGCCTTTTACACTATTGTATTATAGAATACATGACGGAAATAGAAGACAAAAAATACCAAATAAGTATAAAAATCATGAGAATTTCTCTGAATGCCTGGATACCTATCGTTTTTTAACCTAAAATATATTTGTTGATAAATTTGCAATTAGAAAATGCATTGTTGATATTCCAATTCGCTTTTTCTGCAAAAATATTGTAGATTTGACAATTTTTCCTATATAATATGATTAAATTTAGTCGTTAACTTTAAAGAAATACTGTGGATAAATTTGCATAACTTTGTGGATTCAGCGATACTTTTATGAGTATTTTTGATTACTTAACTGCTAATTTTATAAACCTGTGGATCGGACTATCTTAAACACAAACCTTGTATTACTAGTATTTTTATTTATATCTGCGACTAAACATGAAAAAGAATATAGGAGATAACAAATAGTGATCGAACAAAGATTTCACAAACAATATAACTGTGAGAACAGACCATAAAACATGGACAAAAAAGTATTCAATATGTCGATTTATAAGGGGACAAAAATTTCGTTAGAGTGACAAAGAACAAATATTTGATGTTACGTAACTTTAAGGTCGCTTTTTATTTCCAGATGATGTGGTTCCCGATGTCGATTCCCTGAAACGTGATATTTACGTCAGAGAAAAGGTAAACGTGATATTTAAGTCAAAGAAAAGGTAAACGTGATATTTACGTCAGAGAAAAGGTAAACGTGATATTTACGTCAGAGAAAAGGCAAACCTTATTTTATTCAGAGAAAAGGTAACATATCTGACCTAATATTTACCTCAGGGAACATATTACTTTTCTGACATGATCTTTACGTCAGGGAAAGGTATCAAATTAAAATTGTTTTGCGTATTTCAATTTTGATTAATTTCAGGCTGTAAAAGTGATATTAAAATTATTTTCATCAAACTCATCGTTTATAAAAAAAAGATTAATTCTTCTGAGCACCTCATGAAATTTCAGGAAGTATTGGAGATGAAATATAAAAAAAAAACTTTCACACATCTTATAAACATAGGGTGTTCAGATTCTTCATGAACGTCTGAATGAAATAGCAAAAAAGGTTGAAAAATAAAATCCAAATCTTTCAATGTTTTTCTCTTTTTTCTAAATATTTGCTGGGTTTTTTTAATGAAGAAAAATATTTTTCAATTAATTTTCTATTCACAAGCCTCAAAAACCTTAGATAATAATATAGATTACCTTACATTGTTATAAAGCACAGGAATTTATACATACATGTACAATGCAATAATGAGTGCTAAATGTAATACCGGTAAAACATGTTATACGAAATACATAAGAAAGTCTAAACGACTGTTAAATACCAAAAAGTGATAAAAGTCTTCACAAGTTATATTGACTAAACATTACATTTAATAAAGACTGTTGCATATATATAAACATCTTTTTCCTGTAGGATATTAGTCATTTAGAGGGAGAGCTTTATGATCAACAAAAGCTGTTCATGGGAATGGTAGCAGGTCTTAAAACAGATATCAGGTAATATCTCATATAGTGCATCGAATAATTCATTCATTCATTTATTGAAATTAATTATTTTAATTTTTCCTCATTTATCGATTGTTAATTACATGTTCAGTGTATATATTTATTTATATTAAATAAACCATCATTTTTATGCCCCGGTTATGCCCCCAATATCGAAAAATCCCGGGGATGTATTGTCTTTGTCCTATCTGTCTGTTTGTCTGTCTGTTGTCAACTGTAACCTGGTCAATAACTATTGCTCTGTCAAGGGTAAGTGTATACCACTTCAGTCTAAGTCCCATTAGAGAACTGTGTTACCACCGGCGGCATAGTGTTTCACAAACACATCTTGTTTCAAATTGTTTTTGATTTGTTTTATATGCTTAATAAAATTAACAAGTGAAAGATGAAAAAAAACCCACTAAAATGGAATAATATTTTACATTATTCTACTAACAGTAAATTAAGTGAACACTTTTACGATGAGGACACGTGTGAACGGGATCCAGAATTTGTCAAACTCCTCAAAAACGTCACCAAAATCTACGATGCCTTAGCAGAGGGAACCCTGCAACAATCCAAACTTCTGATGCCCCCACATTATACATTTCATGATAAAGTAAGTATTCTGAAGGTGGAGTCACATTTTTTAACTGAAGTTTCCTATTTGTTAATGAGGATTATATTAATCAATAACAATTAATACCCGGTAATTAGTAAATAGTATTATGGGATAAGAAACCACATCTAATGACAAAATAAAACCCGATGTTAACTAAACAATAGTATATTTTTAATTGTTATTTAAAGCACAATAAATTAGATTTTGCAAGTAATTTTTGCAAGAAAAAAAAAAGAAATATATCAGAAACGAAAATTATATAAAACCACATATAAATATTCTAGTAGATTTTTAAAAAGTCTTTATGGTATGCTCAATTGGAAATTAAAAGTAATTCCAAACCTCATCTGAATTTCGATGAGACTGAGAAAAAAATACTTTGAGGATAATAGAAGTAAAATTCAGGGTAAAATACTTAAAGTAAAGGGTTAAGATTCCAAATCACTTCAATATATTGTATCCGTGATTTCCGAGATACCAGTGTTCGAGATAGTGAAGTTCAGATGTATATTCAAATGGGGATTAAAGTGTAAGTAATTCTATCGATTTCTAACATTCTATAAGTGTTTTTTTTTTATGTATAAGGAAGTCAAGATTAAGAGAGTACGAAGATTATCTAAAGCCAATATCTTGCCTAAACTAAGGTATGTATACTAATTAGAAAGCCCCTGTCCTTCTTTTTCTGTTATAAAATCCCTGTGTTTTGATAAATAGAGAATTAATATAAAATAATGGAAAGAATATCGAGATATCACATATTCTTTCCCATCCTGTCACGGCTTATCTGACAAATAAAAGCTGTAACTTTCAAATGTTTCTGTATCAAAGTTTCATGCACTTTTTGAAAATGCAGAGAAGATATATACTTTATGAAAAACCACCCTTATTATAAAAGGAAATAAACAAGCTCTCTTAATGTTTCGTCAAACGTCAACATGTCCAAAAATTATTTTTACAATAGCTCCAAATCTGTGTGAGGTGTAAAGTCAAAACTTGTATAGTTCATAATTTTATCATTGATTAACAGATAGAAAGTATCACTTGAAAACAAATATTAAAAAAAATATTTTTGGAAAAAAATATATCAAGAAATTTGCATATTTAGAATAAAATGCATCTGCTTAATTCTGTACTTTAAGTGAAAAAAAATCATTGCAGAAATAATATATGTTTATCAATGAAGGTCTCTGAAAGGTTGCTATTGAAAGCAAGACATGTATAAAGACAAGACCCCTATGAAATCCGTCATTTGCAATGTACTTTCGCTTTCAAATCTTAACACTTGGACAAAATAAACTTTCCAGAGGCTTGTCCAACTAACCATTCATTGATAAACAAACACTGTTTTTGCAATGATGGCTTTCACTAAAAGTACGGAATTAGGCTTATCTTTTAAAAAATATATGTATTTTTTTAAATGAATTTTTCTCGATAAATATTTTTTTAAAAGTATTTGTAATCAAATGATACTTTCTACCTGTTAATTACTGATACATGTATAATTATGAACTGTAAAAGTTTTAATTTTATAAACCATAGTTTTGGAGCTATTTTTAAAGAATTAATTTTTGGACATGTTGACCTTTGTCGAAAACTTAAGGTCACTTCCAGCTTCTTCAACTTACCCTTATTTGTATCTCTCAAAACATTAAAATTCAGTTCACTTGTTATTATTTTTTATTACTGCACATAGTGATAATTTCATTTTATGCATGTTTTGTATCATATAGCATTAACTAATTGTTCAGAGAATAATAAGATGAAGTTTATTTTATATATATCCGATAAATTGAAAAAAAAAATGAGCAAAGGTCAAGGACCACATTTTTAGCTGGTCTAATTCACTGTTAAAAGTTTTAAGAGTTAATGACGAATGTGACCCAAACGACGAACAAGTTCACTTTTATGGAAAAACATTCATTTTATATTGGACGTATGATTGTAGCTGTAAAACTAAAGTTGGTGTCCTATATTTAATGTGTGTGGCCACGGAGTAGATCTATGTCTCCTTTAAAAAAAACTTTTTTTTTCAAACATAAATATTTTTTAAATAAAATTTAACAGTTAAAAACGCTCTTTGAAGATTGAAGATTACGTTACATTTTCTTTCAAATAGTACAAAATATTCAAAATTAAGCATCAATATTTAAATCATTTTATGGTTATTTTTATTTTTATTCAAAGATGTTTAATTAATCTATAACAATAAAATTCTGTCAAATAAAACACTGAGTAAAAGTCATCTTAAACAAAAACATGAAAATAATCAAGGGGCAATAACTCTCATGAAATGGTCATCAGATACTTAGTTTTAAGTCACCAAATTTTAAGATCTTTGTCTCCTAGGTTCTGGGTTAAAAGTAGTCACGATGGTGCTTGCCGTTGTAAGGGACAATACAGTCAACTGTAATAATTCAATTCTAATGGACTGTATTCTGCTGCGTAGTTTTTTTTTATTTTTCAAAAGAAAGGCAGAACGATCTCATTCAAAAGAATTGTTATATAACTGTTGATCTTTAACAAATGGATGATTTTTGACTTCTCATTCCAAGATAGACTTGGCTATTTAATGTATCCTTTAAACGATTTCATAGTTTATCTGGATTTTCAAATGAACCACTGCCAGACATCAGAGCAAATGGAAATGGCACAACTGAGGAGGAAAATTCTTCTTCAAAACCTAGTGAACTCCAGGCGCTAGGTAGATATTAATGTTTAATTAATTTATCATATCTTAAGAGCCCTCTCTCTTTGAATTTGTTAAAATCATATGGGTAATATTACCGGGTATGCAATGTACTTGCAAAATTCAATTTCAAAATTAGATACAGTGTAATTATACATGTATTTATTGTCAATGTTTAAGATTTCAAATTTTGAATATTTTGAATGGTTTTTTAAAAATATTTTGACTTTTCAATGGCCAACTCTTTTTCAGAGGAGAATCCAGTTATTGTAGATCCAAAGACGAACAGGATGAATGGAATAGTCTATCTACGACATTTTGCTCACATGTCTCAGAAGTTTGTGAGTAAATCTACAAAATCTATTAAACAGTCTGTCAGAGAAAGTCTCTTAAAGTCAAAAACAGTTATAGCCGACATACCTGACTCATATAATACATGTAAGTTGTTATACAATGTATGACTGTGTTTATGATTAAAAACAAAATTGATTTTTTTTTCAATACTAGAAAAAGCATTATATTAAAGTGTCATTTTATTCTATAAGATATTTATGTAAAATACATTTACATGGAGATGTTTTGCTTTGATTCTGCGAGCAGGTTATTTCAAGTGATAAAACTGGAAAGCAGTTTTAATCATTTTAACATTAAAACAATTATCTCATCACAATCAATTGAAAAATCAAAATAAGAGTTCAGTTTCATACCATAACTACATCTATAAACAAAAACGGTAAAATTAATAAAGATTTAAATTTAATACACACGGCACTATTTTTTTAGCATTTTTTTTACATGGGTCATGTGAATAAGAAACTACATGTATTTGAAAAAATCAATAAGGCACTACCAACTGTGATTAAAATATTTACTTATTAACCTTCTTACTTTCCATCTGCAGAATATTTTGTATGTAAATCAAAAATACATATATTTAATTGCAGCAGTAAAATGGACAGGTTTTTTTTCCTGTTAATTCGTTATTTCTTTCTTATTTGATTTTGTATTCAGTTTTGTAAAGAAGAATGTGCAATATCGAAACAAATCTGTCTCAATATTTGTTTAAATGCGGTATTGTTGTGAGAAATTAAAATTAATGACTTCTGAATTGTTCAAAACTAAGATACATCTCGTTTTTCTAATATGCCTGCTTAAATATCAAATGTGACGTAATTAACTTGTGCACTTTCCTATAATTTAATAGAAAATTAAAGGGAACTTCAATTAATTTTCTGTGGTATTTTCATTTACACAATAAGAGTCACGTTCATCGCCTACATAGATTTTCAGAAATGTGATCGCTTAAAGTTTTTTCACACAACATATCCGAAAATTAAAGTGGGCGACGGACGTGGACACTATTCTTAAAAAGAAAAATGAGTCAGGTTGAGGCATAATTTTAATGATATATCTTTTTCATATAAAGCCAACTTGTATTAAGAAAATTTTCAAACTTGAAAACACAATTTTGGTCATTTTCATAAACCTTAAATCGTTCCCTCTTTTTGATTTACTAGTATTTAGGGGAAACGTGTTCTTTTTTTACTTGATTATTTTAATTATATTGTATGCATATCTTAGCATGTTTTAATATGTATATATTGCCACGAACCCATAGCACTGATTTTAGTTTGTTAACTATTTTCGATAATCTTCATTTTTAGATTTTAGAACATTGGGCAAAGTTTCGGGAATATGATAAAAATGGTGATCAATCTTTGGATGTTTATGAAGTAAGTATGAAAACAGGTATTTGTGAGCAAGGAAAAAATAAATTACTAAAAAATCAGCTTGATACAAATGCTACCGTTAGATTTCATCAAATTGACTATTCAGACCTTTCAGAGAAAACTATAAGTAGTGCTCATATTTTGTACTTTGAAAGTTATCTCTCTCATCAGAGGGTCAGTCCCCCTTAAAGAGTGATTTTCAACAATCGCCTGTATCTTCTAAGTGACAACGTATTTGATACTCAATGGCGTTCTCTGAGATTATTTAAAGCCAGAGAGGCTATTGACAATAAATTGATTTACGATGATTTCAACAACCTTGTTCATAGTCAGAGTTTTGTAAATTCTACGGACCAACAATGAAAAATTTGAAGATACTGATCAGTGATTGATAAAAAACAACATTTTTATTGTAAAGAAAGCATAAAACAGAAACCCTCGGAATTTTTCGGAGATGGGGCCTGGTATCTATGAAAAGTAAATAAAAAATTTTAAAAAAACCTGTTTACCATACACTTTTCATGAATCTTTTTAAGATGGTTTATTCCAAAGTTAAATTTAGTTTAAAAACTAAGCAATTGATATAAAACATATCAATCAAAATACGACCCAACGATAGATTACATCTTGTAAAAAGTTCAAAATAACGACCTTACATTTTATGAAAAAAATCTGTGTATCATCAATCTATCTGCGTATTGTTAAGAGTTAATCCTGCCTCTTGAGACTGCAATAAGTTGGGACACATAAACAGGTGTTGGCGGAATATTATAACACACATAAGGAAAGTTGAATATGAAAGTGCTAAAGTTATCTCCTTTGTCATATATTTTAGTTGTTGATTTTTCCAAATCTTCTATATTCAATAAAATACCAATATGTTCTTGTAAATATTTCCATTTCTAATTTTTTTTTCTCTGTAATAACTCTTTGAAAGTTAGCGGAGTTGATTTCTTGATAATTCTACCGGAATGTAGATTAGGCAGGTCGATAAGTCAAGAGCTAAGGAGGCCTAATATGCATGCAAATTTCGTGCGCTTTTGTCTGTGTGTCTGACGCCAAGGAAGCTTAATATGCATGTAAATCTCGTGCGGCTGCCTTTGTGTTTGACGTCAGTGAGCGAGAACTACTGAAATTGGCATGAGAGTCCTTATGTAATTTGAATCTATGTCTACATTTTTAAAGTCTAAATTTAAGATTTTATTTCACAAAGAAATGGAAATATAAGGAACCACTGTCTAGTTAGTGTAGTATGCAGGGACATCAACGATAGTGGGAAACATGGGATAATTTATGCATGACGGGCTTCGCCCATTATGCAAATTATCCAATGTTTCCCACTATCGTTGATGCCCTGGCATACTATACTAACTAGACAGTGATTCCTTAGATAAGCACAACCTATCACTGGTTCGTATTTTGACTGGCATTGTTTAGGAATTTTGACTGGCATTGTTAAGGAATTTGACTGGCATTGTTAGGGAATTGTCTTTAAAATAAATATGACTTTGTATTATTTAGTCTACCTGATACATGTAAAAATAGGGCTCGTGACGAGTGTTATCAGACAACAGGATGGTTTCTCGTCTAAGACACCCAAACCTAACTGGAATGTGTAAGGACCCATGTTAGTTCAAAGAGTAATATTGTTTTTATGGTTTTAGAACGATCAATGTTCGTTTTATTGACTTATTTCAATAAAACAATTTATCATTCAATATTGAGTCCTTTTTACTCATATTTGACCTTGCTCATAAATATTTTTCGAAATCGTACTTTATTTTCTCCAGTGATTTTCATATTAAAATAAAGAGAGACTGTAAGTATTATTATTTCACTGAGTATCTGTATGGTAGATTTGAATTGTTAAAATGAGAAAGAAAAAGGCAATTCTTGAATAACCGATTGTTTTATTTTTCTTCTTCAGGTATCTGAACTCTTACAAAGTTTAGGCCTAAAAGCTTTGCACACACAAATAGAGGTATGATTTATCTTTGAAGTGTTAGATAGTCTAGTAGTCTCAATGCCCTGCCGACAACTTGTATTCTTTAATTTGACTTATGAGCATGGTGAACATTCATTTTTTGTAAGAGATCTGGGCAATTCTTAAACTGAAATAACAATTACTTTGAAAATCCTCATCTTCTTTATAAATCAAATTTCTATTTTAATCTATAGCACTTTTTAATGATAATAGAAAAATTTAAAGCCATGTGGAAAAATGCTTATTTACAACAATTTATTTTCTAACTTTCTTGTAATGAATTTTTAGGACATACGCAACATATTTCGAATTTTATATTGAACAATTATCTGTACTTAATTAAATTCTTTTAATTATACTTTGCTTAAAATTCTCACAACTCGTAGTTTTAATTAGACATTTGAACATGATTAATGTTTATCATCTTCAAATTTTAATTATCCAAAATGTTTGTCAATATTGTCCCTGCAATTAGCTGTCTGAATTGTTGTTGCATGAGTAAATAATTAATAATAATAAATTAATTATAAAATTGAATAATTATTGTTTAATTCTAGGAGGCTATGGACGAAGTCGACATAGACAAATCACATACACTAGATTTTTACGAATATTTACTAGTGGTAGATAAAATCACCAAAAAATCAGGTATGTTCTTATTATTAAAAGGTTTAGCAAACTCGCCTGTACGAGTGCATGCACGTGTAATCTACACGTTAGAATTACACGTAAACGTTTACTTTAATTTTCTTGTTTAGCAAAGTATTGTCTGTATGTGTACTTGTAAGTTTTTTAAAGGTAAAAGTGTTAAACATATTTTTTAGAAAACACATTTAATTTAATATGTATATCACTGTTTTAAATAAACATATAGATTTATTTACATCAATAAGATTGTAAAGAGCTCTTATAATGTTAATCCGTTCAAGCTTGTTATGAAAATCTAGATGTCATGTACTTTACACTTTATAAAATATTTTTTTCAATCATAGACTTTTAGTTCTTTGCACAATCTTTAAAAAAAACAAACAGCAGTTGAAGAAATTTAAGCTACATGTACTTTGCAATCTACACGTAAGTGCATACGTGTAGAAATTCGTCTTAACAAAACTGATGACGTAATACTCAGATTTCCGTGGGGAATCTCCTTCTACATGTACGTGTACACGTTGGTTTGCTAAACCTCTCTATTAAAATATATGTAAATATTGCAGAAAAATAATTAAAGCCAGCATATTTTTAGGCATGTGTATTTATGGTTCTTATTTTTCTGTTATCTTTTATAAGATGTAAGCTTATAAATACATTTAAAACTTTATTATGCAACATTTTAATTTTTATTCTAGGTAAAGCTGCTTTATTTAAAAATGGAATTGGTAAACCCGAGGGAACAAAAGTGTGCGTGATTCAGTGAGGGACATTTGTGCATTCTGAGGGAGAAGACAGAGGTGTCCCGGGTGGGGTGGGGGGAGGGGGTAATATAGTGCTGCAATGTTAATAGTCACTCTTTAAAATTGACAGTAGCATGTGTGCCAACGTGAAATTTATTACTCATTTTTCATGATAATAATTATGTATGACGTCAATATCCTCACTTTTTAAACATATCTATATAGATTATAGATTTTATAATACGATTGCATAATTCTACCTAGCAAGCGGTAAGTTGAATATTTTCCTTTTTAGCTACTTTAATTATGTGATTAACAGACGAATACTTTTAAATACTTGTGCTAAATGCATAATTTATTTAACATATGATTTTTTAAAAAATATATTGTACATTTTATAATTGCTATTATGTACTTTGTTTAAGTTTACCTGATTTTTATTGTACATAAATATGAAATCATTACAACGAATACGTGTATATCTTGTTTGTTTTTATATAAAGAACAAAAAAAAAGATGCAATGTTTGCAATCATGCATGAAATGTGATATTTGGATTGTTCATTTTGACTTTAAAGAAGGTAAAATGGCCAGAGAAATACAAGACCTTGTCCTTTTTATAATTTTTTAAAGTCAAATGATAAATGAAATGAAATTTTCGTTTATAAAGTAACATGAACAGTTGCAATGTGTAGCCTAACGATATTCACGACCTATATGTTTATGCACAGTATTTTTGTTGAAAAATAATATATGGATAATGGTTGTTCATTACTATAAAAATACATCAATCATATACCTTATTTAAATCCGTTTTTTTTTTCTTTGAAGAAAACAATAAAAAATTTGTGAATTCCGTTAAATGTTATATGTGGTAAATTCGAAGGAAATTACTTTCTTTAAATCTTTCTATCATTTTTTGGACATGTAATAAAATATAACTTATCGCTAATTTTGATAATTTACGATAAATTCAGGAATGATCGAACAGACAAGAATACCTTGTATGTCTTTATGTTTTAAGCATGTTACAGCGATTCTGTGGAAGTTTTCCATGAAACCACTGCGCAACCTAGGCGACCTCTTCAGCTTTGAGTTTGACTTTTAAATGAAAAGGTTACAAAATGCTAGACTATGTTTTGGTCATTTTTGTGAATAGCTTTCGGTGGATTAGCAAAATGTTGCTAAGTTATTTTCAATGTTATCGAAAAATTAATAACGTAATTTTGCTCGGTGTTTTATGAGAAAACAAATTAATTTTATATCACTTATTGTCAAATTAGTCATAGAAAAAAAATTCACTATATCATTTGAAGCTATCTGGATATTACTTGTTTTGACCCATAACTGCTGTAATATTATACATTTATTGACTGAGTTCGAGGGCAACATGCGTTTTGCCGGATCCAAGAACCAAACTGTCCGTCTGACGCCGTTAGGCCGAAGACAGACCGTTCGGTTCGAGGGTCGACAAAACGCATTTTGCCCGAGAACTTAGTCAAGAAATGTTTTGTTATACCTTTTATTTTATTTGACATTCATATATTTTGAACTGTCTTCCGTGATGTAACCTCAGGTCCGTCAATGTTGAAGCACCAAAGAATGAAAATGAGATTAAGGTCAAGATCTAGTAAATGAAAGGTGCCTACAGATTTATCAAACTTGAGAAATAAATTCCTTTATTGATGTTTTACTACTTTAGCTTGGTTAAATAAGGTGTTTCGGGGCATAATTTGTAGCTAAACAAGATGAAAAGCTGTATTTTAAACTGTCATTTTCAATGAAAAATTAAGAAAACCAGTCATAAATATGGGAGTTTTTTTCTTATTCGGCAAAGGAAATGTATCCAGATTGCCTACAGTCTCTCAGAAAACGGGAATTAGTATGTTCATGGCCTCTTCTTTAAATCAATATCAAATTTAATATAGGTATCCGGTTTATTTTTCATATAAATTAAAATTGAATGACATGAAAATACCCTATTTTCTTCAGAATTCTGCTAAAGCCGTAAAGTACGGGAAGAAGAAAGTTGAAATTGTTTATGACGTCATAATGGATCTAGCACCAAAAATTAGTCTCAAGTTATTTACTAGATCTTAACCTTAAGCGCAGCCCATTATGTGACGTAAGTGGTCCAACATCTCACTCAGCGGTCAAACATGGATTTTTTTTTATGCCCGCTGAGCAAAACATTACAAATGTTAGACTTTTTTCGTATAGATTTGTATAGAAACACATTTTTAAAGGTATAACAACTGTATTTAGTAATCTTCAGAGACTCTACATATGAAATTAATAAATACTTCTCATCTAACGCACAAACAACAGCATATATCATGTCCGTAAACATTATTATTTTTTAATACATATTCGAAAAACATGTACTAGTTACAATGTTTATATATGTATTAGTTACAATGTTTATATATTTTTTGAATAATTTAATTTTAGTTGTAAAACGTCATTTGATTGGATATAAGATTCAGTTCGTATTGTATAACATAACTTGCCTACGTCAAAAGGAGTTACGCCAAAAACGTATGACTTCACTTGACTTTACTTTTAAAATGTGCTCAGTTTGAAGGTTTTTTGGGGGGAGTGTCTTTTTTATCTTCACTGAAATTAAATGTAAGGAATGAAGCTTATTTTAACCTTTGTTATACGATATAATATAAATTGGGGCAGTTAACGCTTTTTTATAAATGGCGGTTTATAAAGCGTAAGTGGGGATGGATGAATAATAACGGTACATGTAGTAATAAAATTGTCATTTTAATCCGAGTAAGATTTATTCCCCCTTTTCAAATACGCTAGTCACCCTGTTGTGCTGAGGTAAATTGGGCAGATCTGAATATGATGAATTTTGATATACATGTATAATTTAATTTTGTTTGTATTCTAGCCTCTCACTGGTTAATTTCCAAAAAGGGACGCAAATTATTCTGTGATAATTTGGTTTGGTATGGGGACACATCCCCTTGACAACCAGCTGAATCATCTGTATCCATGCAATCCCCTCATTTCCAGTCCTCGGGATTCATAGAAAATATCAGATTTAATAAATGTACCTTTAACTTCAAACAGTAACTCGATCTTACCTCATATAAACAAACATCATGGCTGCCAGGTCTATGTATCAGTTATTACCTCCCCTCGCTTCCCATCACTTCCGTTACTAGGGGTTGTATTGCTGAGCGGCAAATTCAAGCTCATAAAAATCAACACATTTTTACATTCACAGTGTTTAATTATTTTAAAATTAAATTAGTAGGAATGACTCTAATTCTTTGCCAAATTATTCGAGTATAACCTGGTTTGGGTCAGTTTACGCTTTTTTTATAATCCGCTTCGCGGACCCAAACCAGGTTATATCGAATAATTTGGCCAAGAATTAGAGTCTTTCCTTAAATATATTATAAAATGTAATTAGAATGTTGCGTTGGAGGTCTGTGTTTGCTATTCTCCTATTTTGCATTGTTTAATGGAATTTTGAGCTTGAAAACTGTTTGTTATCGCCATTTATTTCACTAAAATTTTTCATATATTAAAACAAAAATTAACAATATCTCACTTCAAATTTTATAGAGTGATTATTTCATTTTTGTTTTCTTATCACCAGCGTCAAACTGGAAGGATTGTATAATCATTTCTCAAAATAAGTAGGTCATATCACATGCTTTCTCCTTCATGGCATCTTATCCCACCTCTGACATTTTCAGGGCCCCAACTGTTGACTCTGCTATCATTAATTCGATCCATAATACCGGTAGTCTCAGTTTCTATGAATTTGAATGCATAACAGATATATATTGGTTGAATACTCAGTATATGTACATGTAGATCGAATTTTCATGTTTTAGTCTCAATATGTAAGAGCGGAATCTGTCCTGCTTATTGACTTTGACCCGTCCTTGAACAGTTCTCCCCCTTTGTTTTAAATCAATAAAATTCATTTTTCAAAAATCTATCTGGTGAAAAATTATTTTTTTAAACGCTTTGGTATTCGTAATAATTATATTCATCTTTCCACCATAGCATTTTTTGATACTCATAGTATCAAAATTTTTATTTAAAAAATTTGCTTGTTCATTAATTTTTGCTCGGGTTGTTATATTTTTGAAAATTTCTCCTGGTAAATCCTTTTCTACTCTAAATGCTTTGAATTAGTTTTCAGAGTATTTAACAGGATGGATATTAAATTGTCAGAAAACTATGTCCTTTTATGGATCGGATACCTTAAATACGGTTAAATAGGACTTCACGTTTTATTACCCACTTTTTATGATCACTTCGCTAAAGGTAAGAGGGGGTATAGTAACGTGCTAACGATTATGTAAGTGAGTGCGTGCATCCGTAAAGTCATATAATAAATATGGTGATCATTGGCCGTCTCAACGGAAGATCTTCTGACCACTTGTTCTTAATTTCTAGGTATTCAAAACAATACCTTTATATGCTTATTTTTACACAGGAGCACGTGCAAAAACAGTGTGAAATGCTAAAAATAGATTATCTTCAGACATTATTGTTCTACTCCAAATATGCGCTAAAAAGAACCAAAAATGTCAAATCACATTCGAAATCAACATGTATTTAATTTATATGACTTATATCTTGAAAATGAAGGCAAATTCATTGCAATTCATCTCCAATGAAAAATTATAAAGGAGCACAATGTAAGTATCACCCCGTTTTTCTTGTCGTATTTTTTACAATTCCGACATGCATAACAGGTAATATTTTAAAAAGTCTTTGTGTGAAAATGTTGTAATTAATATTTTTTGAAAGAAATGACGCCTCTCTTTTTTTTAACAAAGAAAAAAGTATACCTTTATGATATAATAAACGAGAAATATGACGTTTTCTTTTTTTTTCGTACTCTTCTGTCATAAATATTGACTTTTCTGCACTAAAAAAAGGGAAAGTTTGCACTGACAAACATCTGAATATAAATCTATTTTGCAAAAAATATTTTGTTTTGATAAGAAATAATTTAAACAGATAAACTCTTTTCTTCTTCATTCTAATCATTCTGCCCCCCCCCCCCCCACTCTTCCCCGTCAACAACCAACACCTAATCACAGGCACCTGAAGCATGGATATTCCCCCCCCCCTTTTTTTAATGAAAAAAAAATGTAAGAGTGTATAATATCTCAAAAATATAAAATTTCCCCGTCAAACACATCTATATGTCGTTATATGCAAGCAGATTGTACTTTTTCTCACGTTTAAAGAATGGCCTTATTCGGTATAATAAAAATACACAAGGTAAGAAACAAAAAATGTAAACAAACGGGGAACCCCTACTTCTAGACA